CAAACCAGAAGAGACTTTTTGGAAAAGATGGAAAAATATATACGACTGGCTAAAACACAAGAAAAAATTTTGAATTGATAAATTTCTAGTGAACAATGTACTTGAACGAAAGAAACTGTTACTTTTTTTTAATAGAGATGTAAAAAATAAGAAAACTACAAATGTATGGATTAATACAATGTAAAGGTGAAAACATGGAAAATAAATTTAAAAAAAAAAAAAAAAAACATGGGAAACTCTGTGTCCCAGGGTCTCTTAAAGGTTTGGTTGGGAGACTGTGGGCTTTTCCGCATGGGTTTTTCCCATCAGTTCTGCTCCCCTAATTCTGGGTGCAGTATGCATCTTGGATTTAAGAGCTGTCTATGTCTACAGCATGCTCACTTTGTCTTTAAAAGCATCACTCATAGAATCATAAGAGTTGGAAGGGAACTCCAGGGTCATCTAGTCCAACCCCCTGCACAGTGCAGGAGATTCACAAATACCCCCCCTCCACACCTGCAGTGTCCATTCTAACACGCCCAGAAAATGATTAAAAACCTCCAGGATCCCTGGACAAAACCGGCTTGGAGAAAAATTACTTCCTGACCCCAAAGTGGTGATAGGCCCTTTCCTGGGTATGTAAGAGAGAGCCACAAGAATTAAGCACTGATGCCCTCCCTCTCATGATCTGCCTAAGTTCACACAATTCTCATTGCTGTCAGATGGCCATCTAGCCTCTGTTCGAAGACCTCCAAAGAGGGAGAGCCCACCACCTCCCGAGGAAGCCTGTTCCACTGAGTAACTGTCAGGAAGTTTTTCCTAATGTTTAGAGAAAGTATTTCATAGGAGCCTTTTTCACTCCTCCCCAAACTTTCCAATTTTCCGCTTTGGAAAAATGGGGGGGGGTGCCCACATTTCCCGCCTGAGTTTTTCCAAGTTTTTTCCCCCACTGGGTCTTCCTATCTCTATCACCACCTCAGTGAAGACTAGGCCTACATGTGCTCAGGTTCTCTTCAGGCAGAGAAAGGAATTGGGGCATATGCCATCAGCCTATACAATTGGTGGGTAGTGTGAAGCCTCTGAATCATTTAGACCGGATATAAAAATTAGGAGCTTGGTCTTCTGCCCTGGATTGGTCAACAGTCAACTGGTCTTTTCCTTGCTGCTCGTCAGGTTTCAGCCCAAACCCTTGTTTTGATTGCAGCCTCTGTTGCAGCAACTGACCACTGGGACTCTTTTATGGAGAACGCGCATTCTGCATTTGAATTGAGGTACAAACACCCCTGACTGCAGCCTGACCTTGACATTTCTGTTGAAAGAAGGCCTTTCAACTGCTGACACAGCATTGCCTGTTTTTTTTAATACTAAGCAGGTATGATAAGAATGCATCACACTGCATGGGCAGAGCTACAACAGGGTTACCATTTTATAATCTCGGATTTTGCTGATCATCTCCCCTCATTCCTCTGCGAGGGGACATCTAGATGCCTTCTTCAAGGTCTGGATTCTTTTTTAACAGCTCATGAAATGGCAACAGCACTGCCATTTCCAGCAGAGTATTCAGCTTACATTGATTCATTCCTGTGTATTGTGGAGAGTTCATGCTTTGCAATGAAAATGTGGGTCTCCATTTGGACTGGTTTATAGTTACCTTTGGGAGATAACAGAACACGCTGTGGAGGAGCTGCTGTTTTCCAAATGCCTTGCTGACTTTCTGAGTGAACCCATTATGTTACTCCATTGTACTGGAAGCCGCATTCTTCCAAAGTGTTGACGAGGATCCTGGTTTGCTATCTATTGAAGCCAAAGAGCAAATTCTTTTTCCGGTTTTGAGCCATCCATAGTTACTGAAGATTGTAAGGACCTTTACATTTTTTCCCTTTATTGGATGACTGTAGAAAAGAATATTGGAGCAAGCGTGCTAGTTTTGAAGTAGCCTAGCCCTCAGAATATCAGAATAGATCGGCTTACCTTTAATTAAAAAATATAGATGCTGAGATCCTTTTTAATACCAAATTTTGGGCAGATGAATAGTTGGATTTCCATGTCTGTTAAGTGTCATCAGAACACTTCTGACTTTTGCCGACCCTATGAATTAATGATCTCTAAACGTCTTGGCATTAACAGCCTGACTCAGGTCTTCCAGACTGAGAGGTGTGGTTTCTTTGAGTCAACCCATCTCATGTTGGGTCTTTCACTTTTCCTGCTGCCTTCAGCACTCCCTAGCATTATTGTCTTTTCTTCTCATAATGTGACCAAAGTATGATAGCCTCAGACTGGCCATTTTAGCTTCTAGGGGAGAGTTCAGGCTTGATTTGATCTACAACCCACTGATTTGTCTTCGAAAAGGGGTAGACTAAAAAAACATTTCTCCCCAAAGTCTTCATTCAGCACTGGTATCACTAGACCACACTGACTCTGAACAGTGTTATACCAGTTTAATTGTTGTGGTTAAGAGTCCCAAAGAACCCTGGGAACAGTTTGGTAAGAATGCTGAGAATTCCATGTTATCTCTTTAGTTGTTGCCAAAGTTCCATGGATTTAGGGGACAGAAGCACTCAGTTTTGAATACGTCATGGCACTTAAGTCTTTGTGTGGCTCTGCTCTTCATAGTCCAGTAAATTCTTATGAAAGAAAGAGGGTCCCAGAAGATGATCAGTGAGGTCATCGAAGTACATACGGGAGGAGGCAGCCCTTCAGGGATGCTGGCCCCAAGCCGTATAGAGAATTGAAGGTCAATATCAGGACCTTGAATTGGGCCTGGAAGCAAATTGATAACTAGCGTAGGTGGAACAGGATTGGGGTGATATGGTCCCTATGATTCACTCCAGCCAGTGCTCTGGCTGCAGCATTCTGTAACTGTGGTCATAGGCGTAATCTTCGTGGGGGCGGCGGGGCTTCAGCCCCCGCCGAAATTTTCAGGAAGGTATTCAGCCTCCCCCGGGAGCCACCCTTGCTCCTAGCAAAGCAATGCCTCTGGCCCAGCCCCAGCCCCCCCCCGGGAAATTGGAAAGTCTACACCCTTGACTGTGGTTTCCCGACAGTCTTCAGGGGCAGCCCCACATAGAACTCACTGCAGTCATCTAATCTAGATGTTACCAAGGCAGACACCAAGATCTTTCCTGCTCAGGAACAGCCGCAGCCGGATGAGCAGCCAAAGCAGGTGAAAGACACCCCTGGCCACCACTGCCATATGCGTATTCAACAGGAGGCCTGAGTCCAGCAACACCCCCAAGTTACAGACCTGCACCCACGATAGGCTTTAGTAGTGAAGTGCTGGTTAAAATCAACCCTAGATTTTCCTGCTTCCCTTTTCCTGCTACTCCACGGAAAAGTAAATAATCTCAACTAGAAGCAAGGGCTGGTAGTTACTGAGTCGACTAGTGTTTCTCATGAGATGGGAGGTAAATGTCCATGTCGTGAGGTAGGTAGAGTCATACAGTTGCAGAGATTATTAGTCATGAAATAGAAGTAAAAACTCACCCAGATGGATCAGTGTATGACACCCACATCAGTCCCTGACCTCCGCTATTAAGCCATCATATAATTACATGAGCCGATGTGCTGTCAGACTGAAAAATATGTTTTCCGCACAGTTCTTTTCTTTTTATAGAAAAGCAGCCTTTTATCAGTGGGTCCTAAATTGAGTTTTAGGGAATTATGGATACCAGTTGTGGGGCCGACCCAATACGTTTTCATCAAAGCCAGCTTTAATTTCAAAATAGATTATTTTAAATAGAGAATACGTGACATTTTATTTTTTAAAATCGGATTTTATTTTTAATTCATTTTTTATTATTTTATTTCATTCATTTAATTCTTTTTAAAACCAGCCTGCTCCATATCTAGTACTGCCTGCTAGACCGTACTGCCTCCTACAATCTGAAAATTGTTCATTCATGTTCATAGTGGTATCCCGGTAGCCAACAACACCTGCAGAGAGACTCTAAAATAGTAATTCTGTGCATCGCATTGAGACAGGTTATGCTGAAAGACTCAATAAAGGTAGCCACAGCCCTCAGTGCACAAGACCTGAGCAAGGCTATTAATGATACGTAGACGTTTTGGAGGTCATTTATTTCAAAGGTTACCATAAGTCGGAACTGACTTGATAGCACTTAACACATACACACACACATGTACATTTAGGGTTGCCAGTTATGAGTTGGGAAATAACCAGGAGATTTTAGGGATGAAGCTGGGGAAGACAGGGTTTTTGGAGGGGAGGGACCGTAGCGGGGTGATGTGGCCACAGGGCGCACCCTCCAAAGCACCCCTTTTCCCCAGGAGAACTGATCTCTGCAGTCTGTAGATCATTTTTAATACCAGGAGATCTCCAGACCCCACCTGGAGCTTGATAACTCCATGCATTTTGACAGCATGACTAGCCCCGGATAACCATGTGAACATCATGGCTGAGAAGGGCCCTGAATCCCCCCCAACTTTAATCTAACACTGGCTGACAGTTGGCGTATTTTTCGTTTCCTTCTTTTAGTGTGCTTCGGTTTTAAAAACTGAGTCCTCGTGGGAAACTGCATCCTCATGGGTCTTGTTGGTTTTGCGTGGGTTTTGTTGATATACAACTGGGTTTGTTTTCCCATTAATTTAGAGGCATATTTATGCCATTGACTCGTGGTTTGACAATATGAGCCTTCCAAACTGCCTCCTTTTTGGCCAAATAAAACTGTGCAGTATTTTTAAGTACAAATCATCTTCAGAGAGCCAACTGCTTGTTATTTAACACTGGCAGCGCACTTAGGAAGGCATGCAAAGCGATTACCATTTTGCCTGCAAGGCACAGCTCGTCTATGTAACAGCAGAGGATGCAGGAAGGTCAGTGGAGAGAAGGTATTCTTGGGTCCGTGATTGGGCTGGAGTTGCTTTTGTAGCTGAATTCAAGACTCAGGCATTTGGCAGAAAGCCTGCCTTTTGATGGGTACAAACATTGCTCTCCTTGTTGTTTGTTTCTTCTACTTTTAAGTACTCAGTTTACTCTTCTTTCCCCCCCCCTCCTGTCACAGGGAGGAATAAGTGGCGAATTGTACAGCCTTTCAAAAGACTTCCAAGTAAATTCAGGCTTGCGTCAACCGAGCATCGGAACAGATGGATAATGGAGACTGGGGATATATAGTAAGTATTCCAGTTTGGACTCTGGGAGCCTGCTAAATTTTCCCAAGGCCTTTGCTTGTGTGTGAGTATAAATCTACCTTCTTTTTTGCAGTCCTGTGTCCCCCCCCCCCCCCCGGCCTCTCAAGCTGGCTTAATGTGACTGCTGGTTTTCTTATTTCCGGAAAACTTGGCAAATGTCATTAACTAGAGAGGTACAGAGGGGAAAGGGAATTTGGAGGCCCAGTGATCCTGACTGTATGGGCTGTGGGCTCATGAAAGCTTATGCCACAAGAATACAACCCGCCATGAAGCTTCCACTGCCCTGACCTGGATGGAGACCCAGGCTAGCCTGATCTCATCAGATCTGGGAAGCTAAGCTGGGCTGGCCCTATTTAGTGCTTGAATGGAAGACCACCAAGGAAGTTCAGAATTGCCACGCAGAGGCAGGCAGTGACTTGACTCTTGCCTTGAAAATCCAATGGGGCCGCCATAAATTTACTGCCACTTGATGGCACATTCCACTACCAAGGTTCCACGAGACCTTCTGCTGGTTTTACCTTTATTCCAGTCTACGTTGGTTAATATAGGGTGATTCCACACTAGACCTTAAACCCTGGTTCAGCCCTGCCCCCAGACTTACATTCTACGCTACACTCGAGATCACCCCTGTAATTATCTTGAAGGTATTTTTTGGTTCCACATTACATTGAGGTCACCCCGGTTTTGCCCCACACTTTTCCCGGGATAAACGGATGCTGTTATTACCAGGGATAAATGCAAGGTATCGTGTCGCGAGTGGAACTCTGATCAAACCAGGGATGAGATCCAAGTGTGGAAAGGACCACAATGTAGCTCAAGGCAATTCTGTAACATTGGGTAGCTATTTTAAAGTGTTAAAAAGATTTCCTGTCTCTCTTATTCTTGATCTGTGTGTGGATTTTGTCCCCCAGGAATTCTCAAGCACAACTATCATGGAGACTCTCTTCAGAAAGAGATCTTCCCAGTGTATTGTACCACCTGCCTGGTGGAATGTGCTACCATATGAGATCAGGGCCCTGCGGGACCTATTCCGGTTCTGCAGGGCCTGCCAAACAGAGCTGTTCCACCAGGTCTTTAGTAGAGGCAGCAGGCATCCCAGTGACCGTCGATCCTGGAAGCCAGACTGAGACCACATTATCTGCCGTTGAGGCGTGTTGTTGTTTAATACAAATGCTTTTTAATTATATAAGGATGAGGATTTTGTGGATTTTAAATTGAGTATTGTAATATGTTTTTAATATTGTAAATCTGCATTAACTGCAGATACATATATGTTATTACCTGCCCTGAGCCTACAATGTGGGGAGGGTGGGCTATAAGTCTAATTAATCAATTAAAAAAATAAATAATACACATGACCCAAGATAATTCAAGAATTAACTAAATGTTTACCTTAATTCCTTTTCCCCCCAAAGCGGAAGGTGGGGGCACTTGCATAAAGTGGGGGCTGGGGGGAAGGTAGTCTCGCATTTTTTATATTTATTCTAGCTTGCAGCACACACCCTGAATTCAGAATAAAAATTGTACAGAAGCAGAATTGTACTCTACAAGTCTTGGAAGGAAATTGCTATTCTGGAGTCAGCTAGACCCAGAGTTGGGGCAGTTTGCTATGACTCAGAGGCTATGGGGTATCACTTGGTCATCTGCAATAAATTGCAACTCGGACTAAGGGATCACTAAGGCTGTATTAATATTTCCCAGTTCTGTTAGAGATGGAGTCCTGATTTAAAACCTGTCAGAACCAAAGAGTTTTGCTCACACCCAGAGTCTCTTTCAAACAGGGGCTCCTTATCAGGAAAGAAGCTACAAGTACAACGTGAGCATGCCAGGATACCCTCCACCTGGGCTGCTAACGGTCTGCTAAGGTTGCACACATAGCATTGTTGGCTCAGTTTTAAATGAGAGATTGAGTGCATGCAAACACCCCAGGTTATTTCTTATATTTCACTAGTGTCCCAATTAAATTTATTTTTTAATAAAGTGGATTAAATACTATTGTGCTTCGTGGATTTATTATCTCTAGTTTTGGAGAAAGGCAGGCTAACAAATGTTCCACAAAAACAAGCCAAATGTATTTATTAGGCATTTGCATTGGTAAAGCTAAACAAAAAAACCAACAACCCAAAATTCCTTTTTGGTATTTTTCAGGTATTCGGCAAGCTGAATCAGAATCTCTGATCTGATTTAGCTGCCAAATACACCCCGAAAATATTTGGCTTCTATTCGGGGTTTTTTTCAGCATTACCGAATGCAGGCTTGGGGGGGGGGGTTAAACTTTAAAGGGCTGTACTTATTTTCTCTTTCGGTCTCTTTCCCGTCCATTGCTCTGCTTTCCAGAAAGGAGGGGGAAGAGGGACCTTACATACAGTCAGTCACTGCAATGCATTTGCAAATGGCATTGCAGCTTGAAAGGCTGTTGATGCTGCTGGCTTCAAACTTGAAGCCCAACTACCAGCTTGCTTTCCCAGGGACAGGAGGGGGGAGGCGCACTGGCCAATAGGATTACAGATAAGGGTGGACACACTGCTCTTTGGCCAATCACAGGAGTTTGTTCTTTTTTGAAATTCTTCTGTGTATTGTTGTGATGATTCTGTGCTTAAGTTGACTTCAGTCCTCCTGTTGAGCTGGCATTTGCCACAATGGCACTGGGTTCAGCTAGTAGATTGGCACTGCATTCTGTTGATAGGTAAGTTAGCACTGGGTCTGCTGCTGGGCACTAGCAGTAGAACATGGCACTGGTTCTGCTGCTGGCCTTGCAAACATGCCCCCTCAGTATGTGCTTCAGAGATTTTCAGATTTGTTCTTAGTTCTGTTGGGTTTTGGCACTGCCACAGTAGCAGTGGTTCTGGTGGGCACATAGTACTAGTTCTGCTGCTGGTCTTGCAAACATGCCCCCTCACACAACCACACCACACCTCACTTAGTTTCTACTGCAGAGATTCTCTGGGAGAAACTGCTGGGCTGTTGGTTTTATCTGCCTGGCTTTTTCCCCTTCCATAGGAAACAATGGAGGATTGGGGCACCCTATTTGGATGTCCCTAGAATTGGACCCCCTGGTCCAATCTTTTTTAGACTTGGGGGGTTCTTTTGGGGAGAGGCTCCAGCAGCCACAGTACAAATTTGGTGCCTCTACCTCAAACTCCCGCCCCCCCAGCCCACTGAATACTCCTTCGAAGACTTTGCCATTGACCACAATGGCCCGATTGGATATAATGGAGCCGGATATTTTCGGAAACCAATATAATACTGGTATTGGTAGTCGGGTATATTTGGGAATACAGGAAAAATTCAGCTTTATTATACCCGAATCTGAAAATACTGAATTTTTTCCCTGCACACCCTTAGTATTTATGATGTTTTTTATGATTTTAACTTGATTTTTATTGTCTTAATGTTTTTATGATGCCAACTGGCCTTGTAAGCCGCCCTGAGCCTGCTTTGGCAGGGAGGGTGGGGTATAAATTAAATAAATAAATAAAAGCAGCTCACGTCAATAAAGGCAAGACAGGCCCAGCTGTCATTACTTATGAACTAAAGAAGACCAGATTCACAACAGAAGTGGAGGGAAAAGGTAGAAGAGAAAGGAGAAACAGTGTCAGAATAACGATAGAATTTGTATCCTGTTGAGACTGAATCAATCCTCCCTTACTGGTAGTCTCGTCTCACTGTGAGTGGTGCTTAAGTATCCCATGTGTTCTTAAAAATAATGCCCCATTAAGCCATGTGGGGGGAAATAGCAGTTGAAGATTTTTTTAAGTTCCATCAGCAATAATGATGACTTACAGAGTTGTTTTAAGACAGAGAGCTTATTTCTATATCAATTTGGAAGAGCTTTGAAACTTCCTCTTTTTGTTTTCTTGTCCTCAAGATGACTGATCCAGTCACTCTAAATGTGGGCGGTCACCTGTATACGACGTCACTCACCACTCTCACGAGGTATCCTGATTCGATGCTGGGGGCCATGTTCAGGGGAGACTTCCCTACAGCCAGAGACTCTCAAGGCAATTACTTCATCGACCGGGATGGGCCATTGTTCCGGTATGTTCTTAACTTTTTACGGACATCAGAGCTAACTGTGCCTATGGACTTCAAAGAGTTTGACCTGCTTCGGAAAGAAGCAGATTTTTATCAGATTGAACCCTTAATCCAATGTCTTAATGATCCCAAACCTTTGTATCCTGTGGATACGTTTGAGGAGGTGGTGGAGCTGTCCAGCACACGCAAGCTTTCAAAATACTCCAACCCGGTGGCAGTGATCATAACCCAGCTGACCATCACGACCAAAGTCCATTCGTTGCTGGAAGGCATTTCCAACCATTTTACTAAGTGGAATAAGCATATGATGGACACTAGAGACTGTCAGGTTTCTTTTACTTTTGGGCCATGCGATTACCACCAGGAAGTCTCTCTCAGAGTTCATCTGATGGAGTACATCACAAAGCAAGGCTTCAGTATCCGAAACACGAGGGTTCACCACATGAGCGAACGAGCCAATGAAAATACAGTCGAACACAACTGGACTTTCTGCAGACTGGCACGGAAAACGGATGACTGACTTCCTTACGCCGCCCTCCCCTTCTACCCCCCACCCCCATTTATTCTCCAAAAACTAGCAGCTTCTCAGAACAGTGGGCTCAGTTCAGTAGTCCCCTTCTGCTTGCTGAAAGATCTTAAGTTGGAGAAAGGAGCCCATCTTCTACTGGAAGTTGTATTGGATCCAGAGCAAAGATTTGCAGATCTTTCTGGATTTCCTCACTGCCCCAGCAGTCCTTTCCAACCCTGGGAAAAATTGTTCCTCTGGTTGCAGGACTTGTGGGGTAATAGCCACCTCGGTCGAGAGGCTGAAAGTCAGGAAGGGGAAGGCATGGAATCACTCCCTGCTTCCTCTTCTATTTGCTGTGCTCTGCTCATCAAAGAGTCAGGAGGAAGTGATTTTTGTCCCTCCCCCCCCTCCTGAACCCATGAGGCTGTAACTTCATATGGGTCAGACAACCCTGTGAATAAACTTTCCCAGAGATGAAAGGGACTGCGGGGGTGGGGGTGGGAGCCTGGAAGATTGGCAAGCATCAGCACCTTCTGCTGACCAATCACAGGGTCCAACCCAATAAATGCAACCCAATGTGTTGGTGATGGGAGTTGGGCTTTGTCTTAAGCAACATCAGAGGCTCCCTCTTTTTTTGTTATGAATATTTATTACTGACTTATGGACTGGAGAACTGACACGCTCTGGCCCTGGCCTGTCTTGTCTTTTGTCAACGTATGCATGTGCCTGCTCGAACTGTCAAGACACTTCGTTACAAAGGAGGAAACATCGCAGAATAACTACAGTAGGATACCATTTCTTTTGTGTTGTCCACACACTACAGTGTAAAGTGCTAAATTTTAAAAAATCACCTCCTGTTTTAAACAGTGTTTATTTCATCTCATGCTATTAAAAAACAAACAAACAGTGGGAACAAAACAGAGGGCCCTGATCCCCTGGGAAAGTCTCCTGTGCAAGCTGTGTTGAAATGAAGGGGAATGGTGGAAGAGGCACATGTGAATGAAAAGTTCCTTCTGGACCATGCCCGGAATGTTAGAAGTTCAGTGGAGAGGAAGGAGCTACCATCATGTAATCTAATCTAGTTTTCCTAAACAAATAAGCAAGCAGTATTATAATTTAGTGACCAACAAACAAACCACTTCCCTTGTTTTCCCCCCCAAGTGCAGCATTTTACAGTTACAATGTTTTTCCCTATGCATTATAAATCAAGCAACCAAATATAATGTGCAGCTACAAAAAATGCATTTATACTGGATTCTGAATGCAAAAAAAAAAAATCCCTCTGGTAGAACTCTTTTTATTTTTTAATGCCTGGTGCAATATTATTCCCAAGTGTAATGCTTGCCACCAAGAAGCTAATAAAAAACATAAAATATGGAAATAAGATTTGTATTTTTGAAGTTGTGTGTGTGTGTGTGTGTATCCCGCTTTCTGATTTATTTATTATTCTTGGAACAGTGGGAGTAAGAGAAATTAATGGAGGGAAATGATGTGGCTTCCCTGAACAAACAGACAAAATTAAACCATTGCGAAAAGATTAACTTTTAATGACTGGAATTTTGAAAACGGACCTAAATAATGAGAAGGTCACAATAAAATCTATCTGGGTTTGGGGCCAACATGAATAGGATCACAGAGATGCCGTGAAGATGCCTTCTACTGAGTCAGACCACTGCTCTGCCAAGGTTCGTATTGTCTACTCTGACTGGCAGCAGCTCTCCAGGGACTTGGGCAGGGGTCTTCCACATTGCCTGCTGCCGCATCCTTTTAATTGGAGATGCTGGGGACTGAACCTGGCAACTTTTGCGTGCAAAACAAATGCTTTACCACTCAGCCATGGAGGCTTTTTGTATGACAAGGAAGGCCAGTTTATAGTCCACAGGCCGAATTTGGCCCTTGAAGTGATTTTATCTAATCCTGACTGGATGTCAATGAAGTTGTAGTAAAAATAACATCCTTTTTTGAAAAAAGGTACAAATGGAAAATGCAAGGAATCTCCACGTGTCTTTCAGTTTGGTGTAGTGGTTAAGTGTGCGGACTCTAATCTGGGAGAACCGGGTTTGATTCCCCACTCCTCCACTTGCACCTGCCGATGTGACCTTGGGTCAGTCACAAGCTCTGGCCCAGCTGTCCTTGAAAAAGAGCAGTTTGTATCAGAGTTCTCTCAGCCTCACCCACCTCACAGGGTGTCTGTTGTGGGGAGGGGAAGGGAAAGGAGTTTGTAAGCCGCTCTGAGACACCTTTGGGTAGTGAAGGGTGGGGTATATATCCAATCTCTTCTTCTTCTTCTTCATATGTGTCTTATTTGTATTACTTTTTTGTTTGTGTTCTGGATAAGTAAAAAATGAACTGTTTTTTGGGGGGGTCTTTCATGACTCTCCTCACTCCTCACCACACACTCCCAGTCTCTGACCTTACACCATTCTGAGTATTTGTATTCTATCTTCTCAGCCCCTTTTAGATTATACTGATTTTAATGTAGAACAGAAGGCTGTGCAGATCCAGCCTGTAGACTGGCATCTGGAAAATAGCGGCCTCTGAGAATTCGGCTGCCTCAGCCACAAGAAATAAAATGCTTCTCCTTCAGCACAGAGAGAAGGGTGCCTGTGTAAGGAAAAACTCAGGGTTACATCTATATTTGAACATATTCTGAGTTCCCGCATTGGAGCCACTTAAGTCGATATACTCTCAAGCAAGGCTGGCGAGAGCTCTTGGCAGGGAAAGGCAATTTCCCATCGCAGGCTGAAGAGCCCGCTAGACCAAGACCTAATCTGAAGCAATCTCTAATTAATCATCCCTGTGGCTCTTCTGATGTCAGGAATGCTGCATGGGGTAGGCAATTGAAAGCGTGCCGAAGGGTGGCACACCAGACCTCCTCGTTCCCCATGGCGGTGTCCTTGCTCTGTCCCCAGGCTGGGCTGGAATGCAGCTCTGGGGTCCTCTTTGGATCTAGGAGCAGTGATGTCATCAACCAGAGCTCCTTCCAGGCGGCAGCATCAGTGCACTCAGACCATGAGGAGGCTGCGGGTGGTTGCCAGCTGCCTCTTTGGCCAACACATCACTCATCTCTCCCCCCCCCCCACTTTGTTTGCTGGGCCTCCAGCATCATCTTAGGTAAACAGTGTTCAGCACTCAAGCCAAATAGACCTGCTCGCACGTGGCACGAGAGAATCTCAACATCTCACCGTTGCATCCAAATAGCATGCCCCTTGCCTGCAAGAGTAGACCACTCACCCCTTCCCTTCCATGCATGATCCTTAATATAAATCTAAAAAGAGCCAGTGTGGTATAGTGGGTAAGAGCAGCGGATTCTAATCTGGAGAACTGGGTTTGATTCTCCACTCCTCCACCGCATAAAGCCAGCTGGGTGGCCCTGGGTTAGTCACAGCTCTCTCAGAACTCTCTCAGCCCCACCTACCTCACAGGGTGCCTGTTGTGCGGAGAGGAAGGGAAGGTAGTTGTAAGCTGTTCCAAGACTCCTTTGGGTAGTGAAGGGTGGAGTATAAAAGCACACTTTTCATTTAGAACTTGGACAGACCAGAGTTGAGTAAGAAATGTGAGAGGCAGCATGTTCTTGCGGAGAGGGTCACATCTTTTGTGTAGAGCAGGGGTTACTGCAGATGCCCAGCCCTGCTCTCAGACAGGGTTGCAGCTAGACAGCTTTGCCCAGTTCCTTTTCATACCACAGTCTTCAACCCCCTTAGTTTTTGTCCATTCAGGTCCCATGATCCCCTGGCTTTTGAGGAGGGGGGGGTCAAAGTAGACCCCCCCCCCCTTCTTTTACTAGTAGAAAAGCTGGTTGGATCCAATCCATGGTGAGTTGACCTAACCCAGCAACTTGATCATCTGCCTTGTTTACAAGTAGAGCATGAGTCTCTTTGCTTTTGTCTGTGTGTGTGTAGGAGGGGGAGTGCAGTAAACAAGTACAGCTTAATATTCCCTTATGCAACAGGTAGTATGAGGAAACAAAATGGTCATGCATCAAACCATTTACAAGGTAATCTGTGACATGTTTTAGGACTTTCACAGGAAGTGCTTTTGGACTATGAGATGCTGCTTTTGTTTTCATATATGACCATGCTTGAGAAACTAAATGCTGGAATGGTAATTAAGCTATTTCAGAACTTACTAAAGCATTGGAGGTCCCAGGGTCTTGATTTTGCTCTTATCCGCTGAAGATGTGGTAAGCCTGCCTCTGGGAGCCAGGAAGGGTCGTCCGGATGTGTGTTTCTGCCGTTTCATTTCCGTAACGTTACTGGCAGAAGAAATGAGAGCCGGCATTTTTAGAGAGATCAGTGACGTTCAGCTGGCAGCAAAATGCACCTGAGCTGTAGTTTGAACAGCGGAGTGTGGTTTCAGTTATTCTTTGAATTAAGGTGTCCTGCAAAATTAACTGCAATATCTAGCTACCTGCTGTTCCCTTGTATGTTGCTTAAATTAACCTTAAAAAAACAAAACACCTCAGTATTATAAAGCCCAGCATTCTCCTTTTGTGTGATGCCCAGCAGGATCTTGTCTGAATCCAAAGAAGTCCATCTCTTGGTGTGTGTGTGTTTTTTCTTAAAGAAAGGTTCCGGTCCTTAGTCTGACAGACAGGTGTGATGTCTTTCACTGCCACCTACAATGTGACTCATGTAATCAGTTAAATGGATCATTTCATTACAGTTTTGGTAAGCCAGAGGCACTTCTGCTTTTCTGTGGGTAGCTGTTTACCAAAGTCCAAGCCTCTCTCTTGCTCCACTCCGCAACGTTAAGGTGTGTGTGTGAAGGTGTCATCATGCCACTTCTGACTCACGGCGGCGACCCTGTGAATTAGTGTCCTCTTGTTAACAGCTTTGCTCATATCCTGCAAACTGAGGCCTGTGGCTTCCTTGATTGAGTCCCTCCATCTCCTGTTGGGTCTTCCTCTTTTCCTGCTGCCTTCAGCTTTTCCAGTGGGTCTTGCTTTTGAGACGAGAGTGATTCCCAAACAACAGAATCCACGACCATGGAATGCTACAAAACCCAGCATTCTTCAACATTTAACTCAAGACCAAATATTTTCGAACAGGATGTTTATGTTTCTGCCTAATCCCCTTCAGTCTTTAAAAACTGTGCTCAATAGCCAGGAGGTTTTTAGGACCTCGCCACTAAAACCTCCCTTCGGGCTGTTCTCTCCCTACCCCCCAAATCCAAAAGCCTTCTGTCCTTACAGGAACAGCCCTCCCCATGTAACATTGTGTTTCAGCAATGTAACACACATGTTGCGCAGAATATCTTTATTAGCAATTGTTACAATATATGAATAGCAGCCTGCTTTAAAAATATTTTCCTAAGTAATACATTGTGCCTTGAGTATTTAAACCAGCCACCTATTAAAATCTAGGCAAAGAGAAATCATGCAATATCAGCAGCTTTGCTTGTACATGGCTAGATTTTATTCCTTAAAGCTCATAGCTGTGAACTGGAGCAGCTAAGAGTGTGAACAGTTTGATTCACCTCACCTATGAAAGTTACTTGGTTGTCTTGGCCAAGCTACAGCGAAGTCTGTCTCAGCCAGCTGCCCTCTCCGCCTTTGTTAGAAGCAGCCCTTTGAGATTTAAAGCAAGGACTTTTCAGGTTTGTTCATCTGAGAGTTTTATTTAGCCCACTCTTCCTCTGCATTGCTCAGGATACCTTCTGCAGTTAGCCTGAGAGAGGGATGCTGGGAATTAGACCTGGGGCTTCTCATACTGCACTGTACCACTGAACTGTATTTCTCTCCCCCTTCCTGAGCCAGCTGGATAACAGTTTATTTGCTAAACCGTTACAAAGCCAGATTAACCTACATGGCCATTAATGTGCAGAATGGCAGAGGTCGGCTTAGATGATCATGAGGTTACTTTCAGTTCTTTGCTGTGTCTGTTGGTCTGCGTGTGCAGATTTCACGATCAGCAGCAATTCTATTAGAACACCCTGAGTGATTTTTCAGAATGTAGCTGCGCGAACCGGTTGATTTCAGCTAACCTAGTCTAGGCTGCAATGTACAATTTGCAAAGGTTTGACTTTTTTTAAAAGGCCACCTTTTGCTGCTTTTTAAGAATCGTACTTTTTTAGGCACTTGGGTAGGTGATAGATTTATATGGCCCAATACAAAATGTTTTATTATGTAAGTGTAAGAAATCCTTAAACTGGTGCAATTTGAGATACTGGAGAGCAGCTGGCAGTCCAAGTTCTGATCTTCACAGATCAGTGGTCTGACTCAGTATAAGGCAGCTTCACGTGTATTTATATAAAACCATTTCCTCAGTCCTAAAAAGACCAGTCTAAGGGACTCTTGAGCAACAACTGCAAGCTGCCGCCTATGTACTACTACCAATTTCTTCAGTGAAGGCGGAGATAAAATTTGGTCTACTTGATAAACATAAAGAAGACTGTCCTTTCTATCTCTTGGGTAAGCTGATTGACTGCCATTCAGCTCCTGCCTGTCACGTCATTCTGACACGCAAGCAGAAGACAGCAGCTGCTAAGGTCATCTTTGTAGCAGTACTGGTAAGTGTTGGTGTTATTTGGAGGGCAACAGCAAGCGGAGCTCCCCTCGGCTATATTCCCATCTTCTATAACTTTGACAGGGCGTTCTGGAAAAGCGGCTTCAAGTACTTCTCGAAGGTCTGGTTGCCCTGTTGGAAGACAACAAGCAAGATGACATCAAGCCCAGAGGTCTCTGAACTCAGAACAGAAGCTAGTTTGGTTTTCCGTTTGTCTGTAAGAGCTTCTAAGCCTGTATTTCCTCATCGGGTTCTGGTCAGTGTCAAACTGACCATGTCAAAGACAATTGTCATTTGCCCTGATGCAGCTGGAGCGAGATGTTCCAATGGAATCCTGCTTCTGTGAGCCCATTCCTCCTAGCAAAGGGCTCTGGGAGGAGGAAAATTATATTGCATCCAGCAACTGAGGCAATGCACACGGTGTTTCTGTCCCCCACGCATGTTGCCCGACTCAGGATGTACATTATCAACTCTTTCAGTACTAATTACATTAGATAGGAAGAGAAAGAGGGCTGTGTTACTCCAGAGAAGGCCATTTACACTGCACAACTGGAAATCATGATCTATTATTGGGGAAGGGAGAGCTAAAAGCACAGTTGCAGACCCAGCTTGCTGGATCAGGATTTTTCCATCCAAACCACACCTTAGTCAATGTTGAACATGATGTTGGTAGGGCTGCTGCTCCCGTCCTAGGCCAGACTGGGGATGCTAACAACTGGGAAGAAGAAAAAATCTGGGGGTGAAGGTAAGCATTCTATTAAGCTTCTCTTAAAGGGGCAGGGAGTTTTCCATCCAGATTGTTGGTGACGGGGGGGGGGGGGGGGGGAACCAGGGTTTGTCTTCCTTGTATGTTTACAAGCAACACCTGGCTCCTTGCTTCCAGAGAACCTAATGCTCAGAGAAGATAAATCGTAGGGCCTTTAGGAGGAACTGTGGAGGCAACAGCTCCACCCATAAATGTGATCACATCCCTCTTCAGGCATAAAACACATTGGGGGACCCCTGAAGTACAGTTTATGATGAAGTCTGAGTGTAGCCCAAACTAAAACAGCAACTCAAAATTCTGCCTCAGGTAAAGGAAATGATTTGCTGAAGTAATGTAACAATATTTTGCACAATTTGTTCTGCTAGTCACTCAAAGAATACCCAGATCTGCTTTAGTGCAGGGTTGGCGATTAATTCCCAGTTAAAATGGAAACACTGCTGAGTGGTTCCTTCCTCGAGAGCATCCAGTAACCCACAGATGTCAGCAATGCTTTTCTCACCTGGTTGTTGGTTGGAGACTTCTTAGCCCACTCAAAAAGCCGCTCATAGGCATGACCGTCATAACATCCAATGGCCGAATTTAAATTTGCATCAGAGAAGTCGAAAGCATCTACTAATGGAACAGCATCCTGCCTGCAGGAGCAAAGGAAACACTTTATTCTCTCGGACACTGGAGAGTCACCCTGCACAAGTATGTGAAATCCTGCTCAGTAACCTCCTTGTGAGATTTCCCCAGCCACTTCTAAGAACTAGGAATGTGTTTTAAAGAAAGACAAAGCACATATTCTCAAGATTCTCAGAATCTGGTCCCACTCTTCAATTCTGGGTTCATGTGACATGGTCGTAAACTGCAGAATATCTCCAGCCATGAATGTTGCAGGCAAGGGATTGGATATAACCAACTTTGGGGGGGAGGGGGGGTCCCATTTGCCCCTCCACCCAAAAGCGGTGTTAGGAGAGAATGGACCTGCCTGTACAAAAGTCACATTGAACAAGGGCTACACTATGGAGTAGAACTGGGAGAGACTGAAGGAAAAAACTGGCTGGATCCAGCCCAAGGACTAAGCACAAGGGAGAGGTGGGAGAAAGAAGCATTGCCAATGGGTGTGTGTGTGTGTCAGGGGGTTGTGTGATAAGACAGAAGAAAATAAGGAAGGAAACTTTTGTTACAATAAGACCAACAGCATTTTCTGATTTTTATTAAGCTAGAGATAAGACCTGGACTGACTTCTGACCTCTTGCAAAAAAAGTGGCATTGTAGAAGTTATGCGTCCCTTTTCAATAAAAGCCATAAAACTCTGGTTTTAATGACATGCAAATAATAATGATTTCTATCAGTTAATGCCACATTGTGTTTGATGATGCTGGCACAACCGCATACACATCCTCCCCCAGTTGAAATGGATTCGATAATGCTTTTAGATGAACACTTCTATGTTATTTTAAAAGCCTACGCAGCTCTTTTAAAATTAAAGTCCCTCCAATGGCATTGACGGATCTACATCCCTCACTGAGTTGGAGAGAGGCCGTGGCTTTCATGCCTTCCAAAATATGAACCCAGATGAAGCAGCCCTTCTACAAATACAGCTATCTGAATGCCTGTTTTATTAAAACAAGAATACAAACAACTCCAACCAAGATCTTGATAAATTGCAAAAGACGTCATTGAACCGACCCCAAGGTTAAAATACCAGGCTTCTCATCTCAAGGCTGCACAAACGGAGGAGACTGCCTTATACTCTCACCCCACCTAGTACTGTATTCCAAACTCCCAAATGAGGCCATTCTCTCTACGCTGCCTGAGATCCTTCAAATGGGAATGTCAGGGATTGAACCTAGGACCTTCTGCATAACCAGCATGAGCTCTGCTGCTGGGCTACAGACCCTCCCCTGTTCCTGCAGCACACCATCTGGATCTTGTCTGAGGAAGGACCATGCTTGAAAGCTACAAGTCTGCTGGGATGAACCAACAGCACTTTGACTGTGGAACCGTCCTAATTCAAAGGGGAAGGGTCATAACACAACAGTAGAATTTGTATGCAGAAGATTCCAGGTTCTATCTCTGGCATCCCTAATTAAGAGCTTTTCAGACAGCATGGGTGGAAAAGACCATGGTGAGAAACTGGCCGGTGGAGAAGGCACTGTGATGGTGGGACAAAATTTGACTCAGGCACTGCTGGTCCCATCTTCACAGAAAGAAACTCCACTGATGGCCCCAAATGGCTCTTTTTGATTGATACTTTGTGCTTCATACAGGTATTCCTTCAACAGAAGGAGGAGGAGGAGGAGATTGGATTTATACCCCGCCCTTCACTTGGAGTCTCAGAGCGGCTTACAAACTCCTTTCCCTTCCCCTCCCCACAACAGACACCCTATAAGGTGGGTGGGGCTGAGAGAGCTCTGACACAAACTGCTCTTTTTCAAGGACAGCTGTGCCAGAGCTTGTGACTGACCCAAGGTCACATCAGCAGGTGCAAGTGGAGGAGTGGGGAATCAAACCCGGTTCTCCCAGATTAGAGTCCACGCACTTAACCACTACACCAAACTGGCTCTCCTTCCTCAACTAACCTAACCAAAAGTATTTTGCTAGTGAGTCATAGATAGCTCTATGTCCATATGACAAGAACATAGGGGGAAATTTGGCAGGAGGGCACGAAAAGAGGATTAGCTCACCGAATGACAGCCAAGAGATCCAGGTAAGATTCAGTCACCATGTCGCTTTGCTTCCCAGATAGGTGACCGTCTTGCAGGAAGTCACCCATATTGGAGAAGATCCCATGTAATGCAAAGAGGTCACAGAGATGCTTCAGGATCCTCTGGATGTGAAACTCTTTTTCAAATTTCTCTAGTGCTTTGACAAAGTTTTGCACTATGATGTAATGGCTGTGAGCCTGAAAAAGTAACAAGCAGATATGTGTAGCTTTCTGTGCCGAATAACCCCCCTCTGTTAACAACAAAAGTTATAAATCATGCCTGTTTGATAAAATGGAAGCAAAATAAAGATTAAAAACAAGTATTTAAGGTTTTAAAAACATAAAATTAAAACCAGGGCTGATTTTTTTAAAAAAGTGATTTTCCAAGCAAAACTAGTTTTCTGTCATTCAAAGCCCTGTAAGGAATTAATTCATTGCACCAGAGAGGTTCCTTTGGGAGGGTTAATTCCCCCCTCCATTTGGGGTAATTTTTAAAGATTTTTCTGCAAACTTGGGAGGATTTCCCCCAGGTTTATGGAATGATCCTTCTTTCCATCTGGCCACGATCGATGGATTAAAGTATCGCAAATGGGTCAGGCTGACTATCAGATATATAGATATTGTCTCTGCATTTCCAGAACAGTTTCAACAGAAAACGTTGATGCCAGTTACTAAGCAAGACCAGCATAAACCTGCCAACATATGACTTCGTAGACTCTCCTACAAAAGAAAGCACCATTTCACCCTATGTTAATAAATATGGAATAAACACCATTCCTTGCAGAGGCTGGGGGGGGGGGTGTACCTACAACCTCAAACACCACACAGGATCCCTACTTCACACATACACCAAGTCTTCTAGCATTCTTTACCACATCCAGATTGCTAATGTGATGAGGTGGCTGATGACACCTCCCCCTCTTATCAACAAAAGTGGACAATCCACAAGGGATACAAGCCCAGGAACCAAACTCTTGTAACAAACCAAGATGCCAACTTTGTCCCTGTATACATCCAGGAAATGCTATCACAGGATTTAATTGTTGAGAAAGAGACTGATTTTGCTGTTTATGGATGTATATCTGCTGACACACACACTATATGAACTGTGCACACACATGTATACCCATAGGCATAGAGAAAGCTGCTTGTATTACCTACTGTGAGAGATTTCACATAGAGGACACTTGCCTGCATTTTATGTTAATGAGGTTTGCACACATTCAGCTCAAGAGCCTTATGGGAAAGAGAAGCACGTTTTAGCCACTGTTAGCAGAAACAACAACTAAGGAGAGGTAACTCCACCATTGCTGAAAGACTCGATGTCACGCAGTATATGGATCTGATCTGCATCTGAATTGCCATTTCCTGTTGGATGGTGCCTTGTTTGCCTGGGAAAGCCAAGATCTATCTGCACATCAAGGGAGATACAGGATGCCAGAACTTCACACCTGACCAGATGACTTTCCATGAGATAGAGTTTAGAGTTTCAAATACTGTCCACACCCCTAAGGTACATGCCCCTTTCTACATGCACCAATGAGTGAGGTTATGGGATAGACTTGTAGGTAGGTGGGTTTAGGTTGCCACCCACCCGGAGATTCAACTATAAAAAGCAAGGACCATGTGTTAGGTCTTTGCTAGCCGCAACCCCCTGCAACACCCCCTGTCTTCTTTCATCCCCTAAAGCCCAGCTTTCTATCAAACAACCCTATTGTCTATTTCTGATCTTTTTGGTGTGCGCAGCCAAAGAGGTTCACGCCTTGTTGGCTGGTTCTAGCAGGTGTGAATTAGCAGCATCCCTAGGTCTTATTTTCTTACCCCTCGATTTTTCATCGCATCAGACAAGGCTTCAGGAAAGATAAGTATGAACGTATGCCAACTTACCTCCTAAGTAAAAGAGAAACTATTTTTGCTATTTCTGTAACTCTAAAGGAACTTGATTGCTTGTGAGTGTGATTCTGTTTTGTGTGTATGTGATTTTGATATTGTTCAGTAAAAAGACAATTTATTTTGGAAAATACCAGTCTCGTCTCTTTCACTGGGACCTATTTGGGGTGGATTCGGACCTCCGTAAACTTTGGCAAGAACTCACGTTAAATTTAGTTGCCATCTGCTGTACATAAAGCAGTTTGGCTAACATAATGATCCTAGTGATACCATCCAGGACTCATTCACAGGCTTAGCCTTAAATGTAATATATGTCATAATGTGTCAACAATGTCCTTTTGCTCTCCACATACAACAAACATGCTGACGGGGTCTGAGCTGTCTGAAATCGAGACTGAAAGAGATCTTGGGGCTGTAGTGGAAAGCTTGATGAAAATGTTGATGGTAAGCGTGTGGCAGTGGTGAAAAAGGAAAACACTATGCTAGGAATTATTAGGAAAGGGACTGATAGATCTGTGGTTCAGCCAGACTCATAACACTGTGGACAGTTCTGATCACTATATCTCAAAAAGGATATTGCACAAACTGGAAAAAGTACAGAAAACGGCGATGAATATGATTAGGAGGAAAGGCTGAAGAGTTTTGGACTTTTTCGTCTAAAAAATGGGGGGGGGATAACAGTTTTATAAAATTATGCATGGTGTAGAGAAAGTGGGTAAAGAGTACCTTTGTCTCTATATCCCATAATTAAAGAATTTGAGAGCACCCAACAAAGTTGATGAACAAAAGGAAATAGTATTTCAGTTGTGGAATTCACTGCCAGTGGAACACTGTGATGGCCACAAGAATGGATGTCATTAAAAGGGGATTAGACAGATTCATGGAGCAGAGGTCCATCAGTGGCTACTAGCCATGGGGAGCAAAGGAACCTCTATATACAGCGGCAGACCTCTGAATACCAGTGATAGGAGGCAATGTCAGTGGAAGGCCTTGGCCTCTATCCTGTCTGTTGGCCCTCCAGGGCAACTGGTTGGCTGCTGAATGAAACAAGATGCTGGTCTAGATGGACTACTGATCCAGGAGGGCTGCTCTTGCATTCTTGTGACACAAAGCTAACATTTTGGTGCCAGTTTGGTGTAGTGGTTAAGTGCGCGGACTCTAATCTGGGAGAACCGGGTTTGAGTCCCCCACTCCTCCACTTGCACCTGCTGATGTGATCTTGGGTCAGTCACAAGCTCTGGCACAGCTGTCCTTGAAAAAGAGCAGTTTCTGTCAGAGCTCTCTCAGCCCCACCTACCTCACAGGGTGTCTGTTGTGGGGAGGGGAAGGGAAAGGAGTTTGTAAACCGCTCTGAGACACCTCTGGGAAGTGAAGGGCGGGGTATAAATCCAATCTCTTCTTCTTCTTCTCTTCTTCTTTGTAAAAACAAATCACACTATTCAAAAACCAGGGGGAGAACAGTTCAGTCTACTAAGGCACGCCATTTCTGACCTGACAAAAACACTTTAAAAGTAAACTTTAACACAAAACCGCTGAAGAGAATTTTGCTTACATTTCATAGCTTCTTGACTCTGATCATTTCCCCCCATCTCACTCTTACACATAGAATATCTGGAAGTAGAGATATATTTAAAAAAATGGACTGTAGTCCACAAAAGTTTGTGCTGGAATAAAACTTGTCCTTAAGGTGCTCCAAGACAATGGATTTGTTTTTGCTGCAATGGACATCCAGTGCAATCCTAAACAGAATTACACCCTTCTTAAGGCCGCTGCCTTCAACAGACTATGAAGAGTGCCATTTTGTCTAGGATTGCTCTGTAGCATAGTTATCCCACTGTGCTGTGATCTCGAGTCAGAAATTGCCTCTGTCTTGAACACCAGATCTGCAGAGAACTGGGGTGCAATTCAGAGGAAGCCCCTGATCCCATACACCTGGGAGGCTGGGTCTAAAAAGAAGAAGAAGAAGAGATTGGATTTATACCCTTCCCTTCCCCTCCCCACAACAGGCACCCTGTGAGGTGGGTGGGGCTAAGAGAGCTCTTGACAGAAACTGCTCTTTTTCAAGAACAGCTCTTCTCAGAACTACGGCTTGCCCAAGGTCATCCATGACGGTGTTTGAAGTCGTAATAAGCCGAGCACGTCTGCCTTGGTGCAGAGTATTTACAGTTTATTATACAAGTATTTAGACAGTCCACAAGAGCTCAGCATTCGGCTGTTAGACCGACGAACTGCTTCGCCGGGCAATAGTAACCACATAGGCAGTCGTACTGAACTCAACTGGACACAATACAGGTATACAACCAATCACAGTACAGTACATTACAAATGCCGAGTCATAGTGACTCCTTGAAAGCTGATGCAATTGGCTGTCATGTGACCTCAGAACTGTCAATTTAGGTCACACAGATCTCAGTGACTGCTGTCATCTTGAATAGCATCACTCTGTATATGCCAACAATCCAGCCAGGTGCAAGTGGAGGAGTGGGGAATCAAACACGGTTCTCCCAGATTAGAGTCCGCACACGTAACCACTACACCAAACTGGCTCTCGAAAAGCACCCTTTTCCTTGGGTAGACAAAGCCTGAATACAGAGGCAAACGTTTACAGATCCAGTTCCTTTCTTCTCCTCCAAGCCACAACCACCCTTGCTAAGCCAATCTCCAGCTCTGAGTCTTGCATGACAGTTTTCTCCTTGGCTGAAATATACTGGGTTCAACATGCAATTGTGATCAGCTCATGCTTAATTGTGATTTCAGGTCGAACTAAAGACAACTCAAGCAGGATTGAAGCCCTGCCTAAATCCGTGACCAACACTCCACCCCCCACACACACACCACACACACACACACACACACACAAAGGTACTCCTGGTCGATAGGTGCCTCCCAGGATCCTAGCAGTCTATTGTTCTGTGTACTCAAGCTGGGTCCGTTAATGTCGGGCCCCGTACATAACATTGGCCCAACGGCCATCATCACCCTAACTCCTTCCAAGTAAGCTCCATTTTTTTTTTTTTTGCAAAGAGTCGAAACGAAGCAAGGTGTTGATTGAAATGCCCTTTGTTAACAGAATGGGTTCTGCTTAGGGATGCCTCCATCCCCTGCCTGGGGGGACCAGACCTGCTCACTAAGATAAGCATTTACTGAACAGAACAAGAGGACTGCAAGACATTGCTTAGATCTAAAGAAAACATTAATACTAGATTTCCCAGCTGCTCTTGCACAAAATGGCCTTTTCAACAGGAAAGCCAGATAGCTACAATATGACCCATTTTCCTTTGCTTTGTGTTCACAGTACAGTTCAGGAA